ATAACTTGTGTTGGGCAAGGCCTTGGTCTAGGCAACACGGAGTTTTCCTTCGTGGCATCCCAACAATTACTCCATACACACAGAAGAAGGCAATGGCAAACCACTTCTGGATCATCTGCCAAGAACGTATATGAACAGGTCCCAGTCCGAGAAAAGGATGGAAGGATCCTGTTCATATGGACCTGTCGTCAGACAGAACACTAAATAATAATAATAAGTTACTAGTTTTTTCAAGTTGGCTCTTAGGTCTTAGTCTTAGTCGTAGTCTTTCCATGTTCTAAACGCAAATGAGTTGACTTCCGGTTCAAAATGACGTAGGAAGCGTTGTTTGTTTCAGGGGATTATCTAAAATGCGTAGTGTTTTTGTGTTAGTAATAGATTCACATCGATGTCAGTGAGGGATTTAGAAACGCAAAGAACGCGTTTGGAAAATATATGGCCCAATCTGATGTGAGCTTTTCTATTGGATGAACAAATTACGACTGGTCATCTGTTAGTCAAACTGAATTACTCGGGATTACCGCCGTAACATGCCATGACTTAAATAAGAAGAGTTGGTATGTAGGCGTATTGATGTTTAACGCTTACTAAAGCTATTGGATTTTCGGATGCACGATCAGATGGTATGTGAGTACGCAACCCCGATCCTATTGCTACTGTTATTGATTACACGGCCTCACAAAGTTCGCTTTCCATGTAGGCTAACAGGTTAATTTACCATCTGAAACGCAGGCAACATTCTACGTACTAGTTTCAAAAACTTTCCATAATTAGTTCTCTGTCCTTTATAGCGTAACACGTAGCGGGGAAACCCTCCATTAAAATAAACAACAAATGTAAAGAAATTGTCGCAGAATAATTAAAATACTAAAAATGGAATACGAAACGAAATAATCTCGTTTATATTCACTGAAGTGCAAATTACGTCAAAATTCACAGCGAATGCAGATTCTGGGAGTCTGGAATTCTGGCTAGTATCGACGTGTATCCTTGAAATTTATTTTTATTTAATTAATTATTTATTTATTCCTAGTTATGGCTTATTTAACGACACTGTCAGTTATTTAGGGTCGATAGAGACGATGATTAATTAACTGAAAAGACGTGAAAGGAAGTCATCGTTACAAGCATTTACCAGGAGAAAGTAAAGATGATCTGTAAAGTTTTTCGACAATGGACGACTGGTTACAGGACCTCGGACATTGTCCATTGTCTGAGGTATACTGATTGTCATCACACTGTTTCGCTTTGTTTCGTTAATGACATGCGTACAGATCCAGTATTCTAAAGGTCCTGGGTTCGATCAATTTTATTATTATTAACAACAGGCTTCAGAGAAAACTGTCGGTATGACAAACAATCATTCACCTGAAGATGGGAGTAGAGCCAACTCCCAAAACATCGTGTGTTCAATGGGCAACGTCTAGCGGTCAGAACGCTGGCCTTGTAATCCTGGGGTCTCGGGTTCGATTCCCGGCGGTGCCCGAATTTATAACTTGTGTTGGGCAAGGCCGTGGTCTAGGCAACGCGGAGTTTTCCTCCGTGGCATCCCAACAATTACTCCATTCACACACAGAAGAAGGCAATGGCAAACCACTTCTGGATCATCTGCCAAGAACGTATATGAACAGGTCCCAGTCCGAGAAAAGGATGGAAGGATCCTGTTCATATGGACCTGTCGTCAGACAGAACACTAAATAAATAAATAATCTCAGTCAGGATAAGTTTCTAGTTAGAGAGCTGAATTCGGAATCTCCGTAACAAGAAGACAGATAATGAACGAACTTTAATGAAAATATCTAACAGGTTAGAATTCAGGGAAACAGTTGCGAGAAATCTTCCGGGAAACCATCAAACGTTTTGCATCACCTCGCCTTGCTTTCTATGTGGTCGATATGCAGCCCGTTAGCTACTCTCTTAACCGTGAAATACACGAACTTCCCACCAACAGACACACGACATTATTGGATTTGCTGGCTGATCGCTGCAAACAACATCCTAAATCAGTACTACAACGCCTGATAGTGTCTGAGGAAAACAGCGGTAACAAACGACCCTAAGATCCTCCCCCAAGCGTATGATGAAGGGGGAATTATCTAAACTTGCGAGCTAACAATACTACAAAACCAAGTTAGATAACTCTAATAAGCTGAAATTTTCAAATATGAATCTCGGACATTGACTGGGATTCAGAAGTAGGCATGAAAATGGCTTCGTATGGGAAAGTCAGCGCGTGACAGTATATCCGGTGCGTACCATGCAGCGAAACAAACACACAACTCCACCACAAGCGATGGAAATTTTTAAGACCAAACGTGCTGCAAGGAAATGAGAAATAACTGGCTTTCACAACAAGAAATAATATAACACGTAACAGGAATGTAGCACAGAAATTGTCCGAGACACAAACCACAGCAAAATACGAAGCAACAATATTAGATTTTGTAATACGTAATATATAACACGCGAACTGTGAATATAAAATGCAGCAATAATGTTCCATGGTTTTCTGTGATTAAAAATAAGTGTGGAGTGCTTAAATGCATATTATCTTTTAACATAAAACAATCAATTTCAATTTTAATATCTGTACGATTTAGTCAACTTATAACATTGAATTGTATGATCTAATGCATTCTCGTATCTTATATACACACTGAACCAAAGATGACATCATGATGAATCCGAGAAGCGTTTGGCAAAGTGAAAAAAATATTTGCCAATAAAGTTGTCAAAGTGACTGGTTTATATAACTTTTCTGGGCACAATAGAGAAATACCAACATCAAGATTTGTAAAGCCGAAAATGGAGATGTAGACGCGTATGTCACTCGTACTGCCATCTGTTAAGCAACAGTAAAACTACCACAGAACAACCTGGCGGTAACAATTGGTATTAATTCATAACAGCAGCATCTATCAAGAAATCAGTCGGTAACAACGTTAACTACCATCCAATTTAATCAACCATCTAGCCTCAGCACAGTTCATTTTTAAAAACAGAAGTAGTTGCTCTGCAGTGCAAGACAAGTTTTACACAGGAAACATTTGGGTTTGAGAAGATAATGTCTTCTGGAATATCGTACTACATAGTCACCACCATGATAAACTGAAATCTCACTTCCATAAACCTGATCCCTGCCAATGCAGAGAAATTTACTCCATTTTTAAAAATTAATGTGTACGAGGGTCTCACGGCCATGAGAATGAACATGACTGTAACTGCCCTCATGATGGAAGCATCAAGGACCTCTGAAACACTGGTACACTTCTACCAAGAAATCATTATAACTGAAAAGAGTATTTATTGTGAAGAATTATTTATTCCTACTGCTGTGATTTTTAACAAAAGTGCATAGTGCAATATTCAACTTTAGTCCACACCAGAAAATTATTTATATATAACTGTAAATATTATAAAAAAACTAGTTAAGCCACAGCTAATATAATGTTACCTTACTGCAATTCTACAGGCTGAAGTACATAACCTGATCATTTTAACAGTAAATCAAAAAGTATTTCCGATTTTGACCTATAAATGAAAACAATAATATGTATCAAACAAAAATGTGGTTAATTTCGCACATAATCCTCAAATGTAAAATAATTCTGTGTAGACAAAGTGCTGAATATCACAGTTTTCAAACATGTGCATGTAGCTACGAGATCGTGGCCCTTTCTGCTGTGGCACGTATGTGCTTGTTGTAGTGTCAATCTCTTCAAGTCATCTAGCATTTAATACCAATGTTTCCATTGGTTCTTCCAACAATTCAGTAACCGCTACTCACTCATTTCAAAGAGACATATGACTTGGCGTAATGTCACGTACAAATCAAAAATCAATCACTTAAAACTGTCAAATTACCAAATAGGAAATGAAGTAAGCATTTATAATTCCAGTAATTTGTAATCTCATTGTATTTTTACAAGGCTTTTCTTTATTATTATTCAGTGTTCTGTCTGACGACAGGTCCATATGAACAGGATCCTTCCATCCTTTTCTCGGACTGGGACCTGTTCATATACGTTCTTGGCAGATGATCCAGAAGTGGTTTGCCATTGCCTTCTTCTGTGTGTGGGATGCCACGGAGAAACCGTGGAAGCCCCTGGAGGAAAACTCCGGAAAACCTTACATTACTTGCAACTGTATACACCAGATGTCTATTAAGTGAAGATCCTGTATGTCTGCTTGATTTGAATTGCAAATGTATACACCAGATGTCTATTAAGCGAAGATCCTGTATGTCTGCTTGATTTGAATAGAAACCCAAATTAATGTTAATGGCTTTCCCCAAGTCATATGACTAAATGCAATGGCAAAACAGAAGTATATTTCACTTGGTTGCCCATGTTTATCACAGATCAGTCAGGAAGTATGGGCACAAGAAGCCAACACTTTAGAATGTTTTTGTTTCATAAAGCATATCAATGACTTACACAAAATCTGAAGTTAGCTCTCAAATGGCTGTTTTCAAAACCCGGCACATTTAATAAAATTTCCAAAAGCTTTTAGTCTCAATAACAGACCTCATTAACATTAGCATAAACTCAATATTAACTGTTAACTCCACATAAGCTTCGAGAAGCTAATCAAAGATTTCAGTAAAGTTGGAATATTCATTATTGCTTGAAAGTACTTACACCATGGCATTGTAAGCTTTCCATCCTCTTCTTTTTGATGTTCCTTACACTGTAGCACAAGTAAAAAAATATCATGGTCTGTCTGTCTGTCTGTCTACCAAGAACAGTGGGCCTGTAGGTCATTGTTCTTTTTTATGTTGTTGTTCCAGTTGTTATTGAGGACTTTCGAATGCGCGAATTATAATTTACGGGATAATGCGGAATTCAATTCTTACAAGAACTAGTTGCGAAACACGAAAGAAGGTACTCTGTGCATACCTGCACAGAATATACTTACCGAGCTCGTTCATACTCGCCGCCGTGAACCTGTCATCATTATTGAAATTTCGTGTTATGGAGTTGGCATTCCGGTGATATGTATCGATTGTGTGTATTACAATCGAAAAGCACAACGTTGATTTGGATAATGTCCTTAATGTGTATGTTTTGTTGAACGTGTAATGATGTAATTTTTGCAGCTGTTGGTAAAGTACATTTTAACTTAACAGCAATGTATGTGGCATCTGAAGATAAAATTGAAGCGATAGGACAGGTACTTAATGACAAAAGCAGGCCTCTGAAAGAGAGGTTTCGAGCTTTATTTACTCTTCGAAATCTTGGCGGTGCTGCAGCAATTCAGTGTATCGAGCAATGTTTTAGTGACCCATCAGCATTATTGAAGCATGAACTTGCATACTGTCTCGGCCAGATGCAAGATTTTATGGCCGTACCTGTGTTGAAACGTATCTTGAGCGACAGAAATCAAGAACCAATGGTTAGGCATGAAGCAGGTTTGTTTTCTCTTTTAACGTCTTTAGAAATACATATTAAATTAGGAAAGCTTCTGCTACTTGTTCAGTTTTTCTTTGTGCATATATGTAATATGAGGGCAGTAGCCAACAGTTTTCATAGTAAATAATACAATTTTTTTTAAGTTTTGCACTATCATACATCAGCCCTCCGGAAAATGCATTAGAGTGCAATTTAGTTCAGTTGGGAGTAGATAAGTGAATCCTGCTCTGCTAAAGTGAAGAAGATGCATCTGCACTGCTTATCTTTTCAGCCGGCAACAGCCTCACAGTGCTCCCCTGAAAATCCATCCACCATATATGTTACAAATTCCCACCCCCAGTAACAATTCCTTCAGCTACAGTCATGACTGGAGGAGCAGGTAAGCACCAGTTTTGTTTATGCCCATGTGGGCTCAGGTAGATACCAGCCTTTTGGAGATCATATTGTCTCCATCTTTGGTGTTTCCATGAGAACTTCAATCACAATAAAATAATTTGTGTGGTTGTCATGTGTTTGATTTCCTTCCCTGTAAAAGACTAGTTATAATGAAAAGCACCGTGTTGTTACTGTCATAAAAGACGACATGATTAGTAGGTTGGTATTATAGATGAGCTTGCATCTAGTGATGTGTTTGTACAGAGTATCATGAAATTTGTCATTGGTTTATGTAATATTCATGTCTGCCAATTTTCACAAACCATTCTTAAATTAGAAGAGACAGATCTGCCTAAAAATAAGTATGTGAAATAACTGTGTACATCTTCTTGATTCATTTGTAGTGAGATCAGCAACTCCTTGCTAACATTCTGAAATTATTTTTTTAGTAATCTGCTTCCAGTTTTAAGAAGTCTTAACCATGGGTCATAAAATATGTATTTACTCTGATTCTGTTTCAGGTGAGGCATTAGGAGCAATTGCATCTCCAGATGTTAAGGAAATTCTAGAAGAGTATGCTGATGACTCTGTAATAGAAGTTGCAGAAACATGTCAGCTGGCTTTGGATAGAATCAAATGGCTAGCTGAGTTGCCCAAATCAGAAAAGTTGTCTGAGAGTCCGTATGCCTCCGTAGATCCTGCACCTCCTTCAGAGGAAACTGACGTGACTGTGCTGAAGCAGATGTTGCAGGACGAAAATCTAAATTTATTTAATAGATACAGAGCCATGTTTGCTTTGAGAAATTTAAATACACCGGAGAGTATTCTGGCACTTGGTGAAGGTAGGTATAACTTTATAGAGTGACATAATGAAGATTACATATTAATGTGTAAATTTAATACTACCAGATATATTAATGTAGTTTGTGATATATTCTACAGTGCCTGATCTGCATAGGTGCCTTAAGCCACTTAATTTTTCCTAAGACATTTCCATTGTATGTGGATCATGTGACAATCATACCACCCCAACCATCTCCTGTTCCCTTCCATGGTCTTCCTTATCTGTGTGACATCTTTTCCAACCTGTTGTTCCCATTTTGATCTCTATTCTGGGGTATCTTTCATTGCCTTCTTTGGGATTCTCTCTTTGTTCATTCTTTAAATATGTAGGTATCTTCTTGTTCTGTTTGTTAATTTGTCTTCTAAGGAGTTTATCTTCAGATTCTTAATTTTTTCATTTCTTGTTCTCAATCTTTCGGTTTTTCCTACTCTACGCCTTAAAAGTCTCATTTCTGTTGCCATTAGTCTTCATTATATGATATGAGCATGTAATAACTTTTAAATATTATTCCTTTCTTAGGCATTTTTCATTTCCAGAGAATGTCCCAAATTGGTTAATTTCCCTGCATTTTTTTTTCTGTAATTTGTCATTTCCATTTATCTGCATTGCATTTCATGATTGCATTATCTTTTCCACGCTCCCTGACTTTTGGCATTTATGTATCCCACTTGTGCAAAATCTGTTTAATAAGGTTTTATGCAAAATTAGCAGAAACTTTATCCCTGTCAATAAATCTATTTTCCTCAGAGGTTCTCTATACCTCACTTTGGTCAATTTTCAATGCAGGTTTGAAAACTGGTAGTGCATTATTCCGCCATGAAGTGGGTTTTGTATTGGGACAACTCCAACAAGATGCAGGCATCCCGTATCTCCAGGCATCACTGGAAGACCATTCAGAGAATGAGATGGTGCGTCATGAATGTGCTGAAGCTTTGGGAGCCATTGGATCTCCTGTATGTTTTGATATTTTAAGGAAGTACCTTGATGACGATAAACAAGTGGTAAGAGAAAGCTGTGAAATAGCATTGGACATGTGTGAATATGAAAATAGCCCTGAATTTCAGTATGCAGACACTTTACTTAAAGTGTAGGGTTGAAAATATTTTTTCTGTTCAAAACCATATCAATTTCTGTTTGCCGTGTTTTCAGGTTTTATAACCATACAAAACTGGCAAAATATATTTTTTACTGATCGTCGGTATGTAGTAAAGTAGGTGACATTATAACTTATGATCTTATTTTACCATGAACTAATTTTCTGTTTGCTATTGTTCCAGACACATTTGTATTTACTTTGAAACTAAATCTTATACTGGCCTTTAAGAGAATTTATGCTTATTTTCACCCCTTCCTACAAATTAGTATCATAAGCATATACTAGTTCCAGAATGACACCATCCAATTCCAGACTTTCCTTGTTTGAGGGCATATTTAACCCTTCAAGCCAGCCTTTGAATGGACTGCAGCTTAAACCCTAATATATATTTAAATCACTCTCTGGAGAAATTTTTTCCTTGCATATTAGGGAAGAAAATGTAACACTGGAAGTAATTACATGTTTGTGCAATGTAAAATACAACTCATATATATTGCATACAGTAAGAATTTTCTTGCTAAGCTGTTATACTCTAAAATACTTAATTTGTAATGTTGAATAATCAACACCATACAAGCTCACAAATTCAATATCAATTTAAAAAATAAAATTCAATAAAAATTTAACATGATTTTAATAAAATTATACACTTATAAAAGATTAACACCCATTTCATAAAGCTGGATGCCACAAATACTGTTAAATAAAACATCATCATTTGGCTGTGTAAATATAAACATAGCTAAATAACTAATGCTATCATATGTAATACATTTATTATAAACCCATAAAATTAAAGCTCTGTTACATTATTTAGACACCTGAAAGCATACAAGGTATAACCTGAGGTTCCTGGTTTGATTTTTCTTTGGCAAAGTTGCAAACTTAACAGCAGTGTAAATCATGTCTTTGACTTGGTTTGGCTGCACTGTAAGAAGTTGTAATTGTACCTACAGGTTGATTAGCTCAGTGGTCACTTTTTTCAAATCTTGCATGTGCAAAATGGTAAAATGGGTGAGAATTGCTGCTGTAGTCAAGTCAAAGTCCAGTTGGTATTCCATTGTTCTTTGGTGATGTCAAATATAGGTGGCATAGCCTATGATTAAGGGTGGTTGTGAGCCACCCCTCTTAAAATAAAACGTACAGTGTAAAACTGTCAATGAGTAACAATGAGAATTACTTCAATCTATGATTCATTTTTTCATAACTGTTCACATCCATTGAATAAAAATTTTCTTGGATATTATCCATCGTCTAGTAAATATAAAACGTAAAACGACGTTTCGGACGTGTAGGAACCTGAAGACGGAGATAGAGTCCCATCT